ACTTGGGGTCATGAGTTTGGGTCCCACGTTGGACTCCACGCTGGATGTGAAGCGTACTTTAAAAAAAACTGTGTTTTATTGTGATAAAAACAGTTAACAGGAGAGTAGCGTGAGAGACCTGGAGCTTATTCATCTGGCTTCACTGAGACCTAATGCTCACTGAGTTCTCAGTACCCACTTCCCAGGACCCCCAGCCCCTGACAACTACCATGCCGCTCCGATTATGTGCAAGTGACGATTTTAGGTACTTCTAGAAGCGGAGTCATGCAGTATTTCCTTCTCTGTGACTTGTTTCACTTGGCATAACGTCCGCAAGTCTCATCCGTGTCGTTGCATCTGAAAAGATCCTTAAAAACAAACCAAAACAGGTTGAACGGTATTCCGTTGTATGTAAATACCACATTTTCCCTACCCGCTCCTCTGTCGGTGGACATTACGTCGTTTCCACTGACGTGAGTAGTGTCGAGTAAACGTGGGAGTGTAGATATTCCTTTTGAGATGCTGATCTCAGCTCTTTTGGATAAATACCCAGAAGTGGGATTGCCGGATCATGTGGTAGTTCTATTTTTAATTTCGTGAGGAGCCACCTTACCACGCGATCTTGAAGAGCCTGCGCCCCCACCCCCCCCAGATCACTCGTGGTCCACCTTCTTGAGGCTTTTTGTTGTGTGTTTTCTAGATCAAGTGGATGGCTCTTTTGGCATCTGCATGGTAAAGGATGACGCCAAGATCAGCATTGAACCGTGAGTTGGAACAGACCTGGCACCGGAGGGTGGGTCCTTCCAAAGTGGGGGTACTTTTACCCTCCTTGTGAGCCAGTGTCTGTTTTTCCCAAGGAAAAGCATCATAGGGGATCCTGTCTAGCTCCAGAGTCTCCCTAAAAGAGAAGGGGTGCGTTTCTGTGGGTGGATGTGGGAAGTTCCCCCCAATATTCCTTCTGTCCAGATGTACCATAGCCGGGTCAGGGGGACAGAATGTCTAGGACCCTGGAGTTCTGGGTGGAATTGGTGATGGTCCAGCGCAAGACCCTTGAGTGTCTGTGGCACATGGCTAGATCAATATGGCCATGGATGTAGACGCGTGCCAGGTATCAGCATATACCTCCCCTATCCTAGACCCGAAGAGACACCGGAAGCCAGAGATATGGCAATAAGACAAATCAGAGAAAGGAAGGAAGTATCCCTGGAGAGGTTTCTGGGATGCCCGCACGTGTCTGTCAGGGACGTCGGGACACTCAACACACGCGACAGATGGCAGAGGGTTTCCCCAGGGCAGGGCTGTGGCCCGAGAGCAGGGCGCGCCGCGCGTCTCTGTTGCGTTTCCCGTCTTGGTCACGCGTGTACGCCTCGCGCGTCTGTGTGCGTGGCCTCATTTCAGACACATCAACATAGGAAGCCGGTTTCAGGCTGAGATCCCAGAGCTCCAGGAGAGGTCGCCGGCCGGAATGGATGAGCACGTAGCTTCTCTGGTCTGGAAGCCGTGGGGAGATGTGATGACCAACCCAGAAACGCAGGACAGAGGTGGCTGAGACTCTGCGGCCGAATTCCCAAGGGCCCTGCCCCCCCCCCACCCCCCGCCGTCTGAGGATTTCTCCCCCCCAGTTCTCACCTTGGCCAAGAAGCACGGGATCATGCTTGGCGCACTCTTGCTTCTCCTGCGCTGTCGTCTCCTGCACCCACCTCCCTTCTCACACGATTCGGGCCAGGCCGTTCAGAGCGAGTGCTCGTGCCTCCCTTCCCTCATCCCGCTTTCAAGGAGCCCCTCTCGGTGCCATCAGGGAAGTCTCCGCCCTGGCACTTGCTGACTCTGCGTGTCTCTTCTCTCTCACCCTCCGCTGGGACCGCTGGCTGGAAACAGTGACCGAGCTCTGCAACGTGGCCTGCTCCAGCGTGATGCCGGGAGGGGGCACCAATCTGGAGCTCGCCCTGCACTGCCTGCACGAAGCCCAGGGCAGCGTTCAGGTGAGGTGGAGGCAGGGGCAGGGCGAGGGGGAGTCTGGGGGAGCTCCCCGCTCTCCCGGGGCCGGAGGCTGCAGGTGCGCGCATCGTGCTGTCTGCTCCAGGGTGTGCGGCCCGTGGAGAGTGAAGGAAGGCCAAGCGTCCTTCTCCCGTGGCTTTGGGATCGGTGTGGTGCTTGTGAGCTGCAGATATGGGCTCAGTGAACCAGTTGTCTCTCGGGAGCAACAACAGTGCCGGTGTCCCTTGGAGACAGCTCAGGGGCACTGGGGAGCCACAGCCCAGTGCACCCGTCTCGGGTCCTGCACTGATTGGGTTTATGTATTTATTTTTACATTTCTTATTTTATTTTTTGAGAGACCGAGTGCAAACAGGGGAGGGGCAGAGAGAGAGGGAAATGCAGAATCCGAAGCAGGCTCCAGGCTCCAAGCTGTCGGCACAGAGCCCGATGCGGGGCTTGAACCCACAGACCGCGACATCACGACCTGAGCCGAAGTCGGATGCTCAACCGACTGAGCTACCCAAGCGCCCCTGATTGGGTTTATTTACCGAGCTCTATCTCCTCGATTAAAAACCCACATGTGAAAACCCCTGATGCAACAGAAATGCCTCTGCCTACTCCAAGGACCCTCCTCACATTCTTGACATTTAGAAAAGAAACCAACTCTGAGTAATGAGAGGAAAAGTGTCATCACTCGAGCTAGGTCCCCAAGAGTCTGGTGCCACAGTCATGGCTTTTTCTCAAGCTCAGAGGCAGCAGCTGGCACGTAGGAGGTGCTCGGCAGAGTCAACACATATTGATAAGAGTTGTCTCAAGCGCTTTGTAATGTCGTGGCACGGGGTCCAGGGCCGGCTCGGGGGCCCCAGTCTTGGTTTCATGCTGCCGCCACCATCTTGAAATTCTTAATGAAAATTAAGATAATTTTTGAACAGGGGGCCGGTGTTTTTATTTTGCACTGGGTTCCCCACATTACGTGGCTGGACCTGATGGGGGTTACTCTGGTGAGCAGGACAAAATCCCTCTATTTGCAGGCTTACATTTTAGAAGAGTCAAAACAGGAAATATATTTTTAATTTTTTTTAATGTTTTATTTACCTATGAGAGAGCGTGAGCAGGGAAGGGGCAGAGAGAGAGGGAGACAGGGGATCTGAAGCAGGCTCCGTGCTGACAGCAGAGAGCCCGATGCGGGGCTTGAACTCAGGAACTGGGATTTAGGACCTGAGCGCAAGTCGAACACTCAACCGACTGAGCCACCCAGGCGCCCCTAAAATAGGAAATAAGTTTTTAAAAAATTATTGGTGGTTAGCGCTATGAAGAACATGAAGGGGGGTAGTGGTCGAGGGCAGTGCGATTCCAAATGCGGGTCCTCGATGAAGGAAGGCGCTCACGCCAGAATAAATCCCCACACCGTTTCCCACATCAGGAAAATGTTGCCACAAGAAATCTGTCAGCCGCACTCACCAGTATGCTTAGCGATGCAGTCCCCGCATCCGCAAATGGTTCACAGGTGGTGGCCAGTCTGTGGAGCACGCACGCTCCGAGCAGTAGGGCCGGAGAAGGTCTGAGGGAGGGCACGAAGTGTTTGCTTTTTTTAATTTTTTACCGTTTGTTTATTTTTGAGAGAGAGACAGACAGAGCATGAGCAAGGGGAGGGGCAGAGAGAGAAGGAGACACGGAATTGGAAGCAGGCTCCAAGCCCCGAGCTGTCAGCACAGAGCCCGACGCGGGGCTTGAACTCCTGAACCGCGAGATGATGACCACAGCCGAAGTTGGACGCTTAACCGGCTGAGCCACCCAGGTGGCCCCTAAGTGTTTTTCGAATGCATGAAAGAAAAAATCGCCGGCCACGCTCCTCTTGTTTCAGGTTGCCCTGGAGACCCTCTTACTCAGAGGACCCCAGAAGCCGCAGACTCACCCACTGGCCGACTACCGCTATACAGGTGACTGGAACAAGGCGGCGGGTGTGGTTTTTGCCTGGCCGGGACCTTGTGAACAGTCAGTTCCCAACAGCAGGTTCTCTTGGGGCCTTCACCTGCCTTTCCAGAAGGGCCTGTCCTCTCGGGGAGTGACTCCGTGGGTGGGTTTTCTGCTGGTTGCACCCCACCCTCCCCCTTTCCCAGGGTTCCCTCGCACGCTCTGCTCGGCCACCAGGGAGAGGTGGAGGCAGGCCGGGGCGCAGCGGTGAGCACGCCAGCCCTGGAGTCAGGCAGGCCGGGGCCCTGGCCTCGGCGAGTCTCCCAACCAACGGAAGCCTCAGTTGCTGCATCTGTAAGGAGGAGATCGTAATGGTCCCTACCTGCTAAGGCTTTTGTGAGAGTTGTATGAGATTAAGCAAGGAAGGGGCTTAGCAGAAGGCTCGACGCATAACTGTGCTTGGTAATGGCGGCTGTAAAAAGGAGGGGGGTCTGCCCTTCAGCCATGTCCTTCCCCGTCTTGGCTATTTCTCGAATAGGTTCAGACATCTGGACCCCCATGGAGAAGAGGCTTTTCAAGAAGGCGTTCTGCACCCACAAGAAGGACTTTTACTTGATCCACAAGACGGTAAGGTGAATGTGGGCGCGCCGGTGTAGACAAGGCCCTGCCTCGCGTAGCTGAGCCGGGCTAGAGCTGAAGGGCCCCTCGGGGGTGACACTGTGCTTGTATCATAAACAGTTTTTAATTTAAAAAGCCACGCTCGTGGGGCGTCTGGGTGGCTCAGTCGGTTAAGCATCCCAACTTCGGCTCAGGTGATGATCTCATGGTTTGTGACTTCGAGCCCCGTGTTGGGCTCTGTGCTGACAACGTGGAGCCTGCTTCAGATTCCGTCTCCTCCTTTCTCTGCCCCTCCCCTGCTTGCTATCGTTCTTGTTCTCTCTCTCAAAAAAAACAAAAAACAAAAAAAAAAACCACCTTAAAAAAAAAAAAAGCACACAGGGGCGCCTGGGTGGCTCAGTCGGTTAAGCGTGTCTGACTTCAGCTCAGGTTATGACCTCACGGTCTGTCGGTTCGAGTCCCGGGTAGGGCTCTGTGCTGACCGCTCAGAGCCTGGAACCTGCTTCACATTCTGTGTCTCCTTCTGTCTCTGCCCCTCCCCCGCTCACATTCTGTCTCTTGCTCTCAAAAATAAGCATTAACAAACATTATAAACAAATAAATACCAGTTCAAGACGGTTGATTGTATGCTTTGGGTTTTCCATACCTTTATTGTCTACGTGCTCTAGCAATTATTGAGAATGGGATAGTAAAATACTTGCCTATAGCTGTGGATCTATTTTTCCCTGTAGTTCTATCAGGTTTTGCTTCACGTATTTTGAAGCTCTGATTTAGCTGCATAAACACTGAGGATTCTTATGTTTCCTTCATTAAATGGACCTTTTTATCACCATGAAATGATTTCCTTTATCCCTATTATTTTTTTGCTCTGAAATCTGTTTTTCTGAGACCAGTATAGCCAACCATTCCAGCTTTCTCAGAAGGCGATGGGTGTTTGCGTGGTATATCTTTTTTCAACCTCTTACTTTTAACATATTTGTGTTTTCACATTTACGGTGTGTCCTTATAAGTAGCATGCGTTGGATGTTGCTTTTTTTAAATTTGTTTTAATTGAAGTCTAATTAACGAAGTGTTACATTAGTTTCAGGTGTCCAATATAATGATTCAGCAATTCTGTACTTTGCTCAGTGCTCATCAAGATAAGTGTACTCTTGGGTCGCCTGGTTGGCATATTGGATCTGACATTCGACTCCGGCTCAGGTCACGATCTTGCGGTTCGTGGGTTCGAGCCCCGCGTCAGGCTCTGTGTGGATGGCTCAGAGCCTGGAGCCTGTTTCGGATTCTGTGTCTCCTCTCTCTGCGCCTCCCCTGCTCGCTCTCTCTCTCTCTCTCTCAAAAATAAATAAACACTAAAACAAACTTAAAAATTAAAATAAAAAAAGATAAGTATACTCTT